TCTATATTAACAGAAAAATGGAGTGTATGATAGAAATGTGTATATCTGATGTACTTTTTTATCATTTGAAATGTAAAGAACAACATATACACTTGTTTATTCTGTTAGGAAAATCCCATACACATAAGAAGAAGTGGACTCTATGTATTAGACCATATTTTATAAATGACTTTAAATTATATGTAAATCTCTCTGAACAAACAAAAAACTCTGAAAGCATTGAAATCTATGTCACTTTCTTCCTTTTTTTTCTCTTTTATTTTTTCTCTGGCAGCTAATGTTATTTTGATCATGTGAATATGTAATGCCTCTTGTTATTGTGGCAATTAATAAATAAAGCATTAAAAAAATAATTACATTAATCACTAAAAATCATTGGCAAGTATTATAAGCTATCAGTACTTGTGATACGTTTTTCAGCAGCAAATGCTACTGTACAGTTATGCACAATTAATATGACAATTATAAACAACACAAGCAAACATGATTATATTTGGTCAATTGAGTAAAACAAGTATTTGTTTGGGTTTGTTAGGGACGTAACACATCTGCATGCTGTTTCCAGCGTCGTTAACGCCCTCTTTTCACTTGCGGGCTTGTGATTGGTCGGACCGACACGGTACTTAAAATACTCGACAGTGATTGGACAGTCGCTTACACAAGCGCTTGTGTAAGGCAGCTGCATTGAAGTTGTGTAAGGAGCAAATATACACCGTAGAAAACCAAAATCACACATCATTTTCCAAGCTTTTGAGACAAGCCACGTATTGGAAACTCTGAGCGCGTGAGTATCCACTATAATCCAGCCCAGTCAGCACGACAGGTGGATTTGGCACATTATTATTTACTTGCAAAGCTATAATAACAGTTCTCTCTGTTGAGGTGATGGTGACTTACAAATGCATGAACAATACTGTCCTATCATGTCGCTTAGATCTGCTCTGAATGTCTCTTTCGTTTGTTTTCTGTAACGCAAAACAACATATTTGTTCTGTTTTGCATCCTTGCCAACCTTTTCTTTCTATCAGTTGAATTTAAATATAGTTGCATGATCTTATTTATGTTTTCATATCCATATGCTGTGTAAGCAGTGTCATAAATGCTTTTCACATTACGTTTAATCGCATGATAATGAAGCTAAAGTGTGAACACTGTTTGATTGACAGGTGGAGATGAGGATGTGGTGGGCGTGTCTTCTGGGTTTGGCTCTGTCAGCTCTCTCTCAAGCTCAGCCCATGTTCTCCGTCACCACGGATACGGTTCTGCCTCCTGATGCTCTTCACAACCCCACCCAGCGGAATTATGGGATGGCAGTGACGGATGTGGATGGAGACGGGGATCTGGAGGTGGTGGTGGCCGGGTAAAGAAACTCCAGCATAACCTGATTTCTCAGTGATTATTAAATAAAATAGGCAGATTCATATACATTATTATTTATTGTTAAGTCTTATTTAAATG